GGATTCCTCTTGCTCCCACAACGTCTGTTTCTATGATTTCTGTTTAAAACGACATGTATGCAAAACTGTAATATGCTTTTGCTAATAGATTAGTATTAAAAAAAAAAAAAACCAACCCAGTTGCTGTCAAGTCGATTCCAACTCATAGCAACTCTATAGGACAGAGTAGAACTGCCCCATAGGGTTTCCAAGGAGCACCTGGTGGATTCAAACTGCTGACCTTTTGGTTAGCAGCCGAGCTCATAACCCCTGCACCACCGGGGCTCCATGGATTAGTACATAGCCTAAAAAATAAGAAAGATTCTACAGAAGAAAAAAGTCTTAGTCTTTCCAAAATAAAATGCTGCTGCTGATTTAGGACTTGGAGTTCTTATCCCAGGAATAGTGATGAGTTTATGCTGACCCAGCCACACCCTGTCACCTGTTCCCTGCTCCTGCCACTCCCCGCCCCCCCGCCGTGCCCTTTGCTTCCCAGATGGCCATGCAGAGGGGCTGGGGAGGGTCACAGCCCATTGCTGCCTGTCTAAAGATGGAGCCTATGAACTTTTCCTCATTAAACTTTTACCTGCTCAGCCAGCTTGCCACAGGCGGCAACTTTCTATGACTGGCAAAGTTAGGAGGTGGTGGAGACTTGAAAGTCTTTTTTAAAAAAAAAATTTTTTCAGAGCACTTAGAAGATTTGTGTAGATGTTGTTGTTAACTGCCATGGAGTTGGACCCCTACTCATGGGGGCCCCACACACAGCTGAACAAAGCTCTGCCTGGTTCTTCGCCATCCTCATGATCGGTTGCAGATCAGACCATTGTGATCCATAGGGATTTTTCCAGCTGATTTTCAGAAGCAGATCACCAGGCCTTTCTTCCTAATCTGTCTTAGTCTGGAAAACTCTGCTGAAACCTCTTCAGCATCAAAGCAACACGCAAGCCTCTGCTGACAGTTGGATGTTGGCTGCTCATGAGTTGCATTGGCCAGTAATGGAATGTCTTCCACATGAAAGGCGAGAATTCTGCCACTGAACCACTACTGCCTCCTCTTATCTAGATAGAAGTGAGGAATTATTGACGGGTAGACAGAAACATAAGGAAACCTGGTGGCACAAACTGTTAAGTACCAACTGAAAGGTTGGCAGTTCGAACCCACCCAGTGGCTCCACAGGAGAAAGATTTGACGATCTGCTCCCATAAAGATTGCAGCCTGTGGAACAGAATTGAGAACCCAGATGTAAATCCATCCACCTGTAATCACCTAATCTTCGACAAGGGCCCAAAGTCCATCAAATGGGGAAAAGACAGTCTTTTTAAGAAATGGTGCTGGCAAAACTGGATATCCATCTGCAAAAA